TTCGACGTTGGCAGGCCTGGCCTGCCGCAGCGTGGCCCTCACTGATCACGGACTATGGATATGGATTATCGGTGTGCGCCCTGCGGGTCAAAAAAAAACTCCCCCTCCTCCTCCTGCTCGTCGCGCCTCCAGTCCAGGGACAAAGTCCCGACAACACAAACAGAACCTTGGGCCCAGGCTCTTGGAAACGTTTCGAATGAACATCAAACTAGCGAGGAGCTAGTGGCATGAACTCATTGTAAGGACTTTCCGTTTGAAAGTGGCAGTGGGGAAGGGATTGTTGGGGTCGCCCCCGGTGCCAGGAGACATTGGGAACCAAGAGGCTGGTAACAACAAACGGGAACCCGCCAGATGCTATCCCCTCCTGTTCGATCCGACGGGAGGGGCCTCCGACAAACTTGACGCGCTGGCGCGCCACTTTCCATTCAAACACCCCAGGAGCAGGAGGGTTGCTTTTAAGGCTGACGGGAGATGTGGTAGCTCGAATTTCCCGTAGCGTGGCAGATTCGTGTGTATTTGTTTTGTTTATCCTTCAGCGATGCATTGAGCTCCGCGCAGGCAAAGAGGAGGGGTGTCAAGGAGGAGATGGTGCAGGAGGAGGAGGAGGGGGGGAACCAGGGGAGGGAGGTGGCTGGGCGGAGTTCACTGTGTGCACCCGCGCCCGCGCCCCGCTCCCCTCTCTGCCCCTCGCCTCTCGAAGGAGAGAGGGGATGGTGGTGATGATGAGAAATGAGGATGAGGAGGGGGAGGGGGAGGAGGTGGAGGAGGAGGAGGAGGAGCAGGAGGAGGAGGAGGGGGAGGAGGAGGGGGAGTTGGAGGGGGAGGAGGAGGAGGAGGAGGAGGAGGAGGAGGAGGAGGAGGAGGAGGAGGAGGTGGAGGAGGAGGAGGAGGAGGAGGACCAGATGAAACACAGGAGGCATCAACGATGCTGCAACACCCCTCCCTGTCCCAAGTCCCCTCCTCACAGGGCCCTGCAGGCAGGCCTTCCTGTTCAAGACAAGTAACGCCCCCTGAAATACAAACATCCCATGGGCTGGCGTTCACGATGGAACCCCGCTTTGAAAAGAAACCACCATGCATCTTGCGAGCGAATATCGAGGAATGATCATACACTTTAACGAGATGCCTATCCAGAGAACTGTTTTGAAAAGGGCCCGTCCCACATCCGCGTAATTGTTGCACAAGTCGACACTTCTGGCCGCTACGTTGGAGAAAGTCTTAACGGAGAGCTCCATTTTGAGAAGGAACTTACCTCCATCCGTGCAGCTGCTACATATTGCAAATGCCTTCGAAGGAGGCCGCCGACCCTGAGAAGTGGAAGGCTTGGTCGCAAAAGGCGGACGGATGCTAATGCGAGGGCGAAGGTATGGTGGTCCTCGGCAAATCCTCCCATGGTGCCCAGGTCGTGTTCCGGAGGCCTTGGGTGCATGTTGGGGGGTATTGTGGGGAGGGGATCCTGGAGGCCCTTGTGGCCCACTCTAGTGCGTCTTGAGGCCTCTTCGAAACTCTTGTGGGCCTCGTGGGGTTCTTGGGATCATGTTGGAAAGGCTGGCTGCCAGCGGTGCGACAGTGGCGTACTTGTTGGGTCCTTCTTAGGACCCTCTTGGGCCATCATGAGCTGGTCTTGGGGGTTATTGGGCCGCCTTGGACGCTCTTGAGACCAATGTGGCGAGCATGTTCAGATCACGCAGGGTACAAAGTGATTCATTTGATTTGGGCCCAAGAAGGCCCGCCCCCAGGACCTCCACGACGGCCCGCGTCGTCCGAGTCACTCCAGGAGGGGCTGTGCAGAGAGGCGAATTCCCCTTGTGACTCCTCTCGTCCCCAAGAGATCAAAGCCCTTCGCCACATGATTACGACCTGGGTCGATCCACTTTGGGCTCCGCCTTCCGTCCATGGAACCGCTGGAACATCCACATTTCAAGATCGAAAGGGATGCGGAAGTCTGAGTCGGAGCGCCTGCACTGCCCGACCGTCATATCTGGTGGACCAACAGTGAGCAGTTATCCGGCAGGGACACGGATGGACAAGGATGATGATGATGATGATGATGATGATGATGATGATGATGATGATGATGATGATGATGATAATGGTGATGATGAGGATGATGGTGATGATGATGATCATGATGATGATGCTGATGATGGTGGTGGTGCTGGTGGTGGTGATTATGATGATGCCGATGATGATGATGATGGTGATGATGACGATGATGATGATGATGATGATGATGATGATGATGATCATGATGATGCTGCTGCTGATGATGATGTTCATGATGATACTGATTATGATGATTATGACGATGATTATGATGATGACGACGATGATGATGATGATGATGATGATGATGATGATGATGATGATGATGATGACGATGATGATGATGATGATGATGATGATGATGATGCTGATGTTGATGATGATGCTGCTGATGATGATGCTGATGCTGATGCTGATGATGATGATGATGAGGAGGAGGAGGAGGAGGAAGATAATTCATGGTAGGTGGGAGTGATGACGAGGAATTGGAAGCAGGATGAGGGAGGAAGACGGCAGAGAAGGGGGAAGAGACGGAGATGCGTGAATCAGTATTGTGATGTATGTGTTGACGGCCGAACCGCGGTCCGAGCGACAGGTGCCTTCCAGCGGCACTTTCCGACCTCTCGCCTCGTTGTCAGTGCTTTGTTATGTGGCCAACTTGGGGATTTGTAGAATGGCTTCTATTTTTTTGTAGATAGCGGCACTTAGCGGCACTTAGCGGCACGAACGCTTGCGGTCTCGATGAGGGCCGGCGGTTTCACTGAGGCGCCCGTGGTTTCACGGAGGTCGTCGACCCCGAGCTTTGATTTAAATGTTCGTGGGCAAGATGGGGCTACACGGCCACTAAGTGCCACTAGATGGTAATTCTCGGAACCACTAACGGCCACTAAGTGCCACTCAATGGTAATTTTCGGAACCACTAACGGCCACTAAGCGCCACTAAATTGTAGATCTCGGGCTTCAACGTGCCTCTAAATGATATATTAATTCTCGGAGCCACCAACGGCCACTAAGTGCCACTAAATGGTAATTCTCAGAGCCACCAGCGGCCACTGAGTGCCACTAAATGATCTTTCTCGGAGCAAGTAGCGGCCGCTAGGTGCCACTAACTGGTAATTCTCGGAACCACTAACGGCCACTAAGTGCCACTCAATGGTAATTTTCGGAACCACTAACGGCCACTAAGTGCCACTAATTTGTAGATCTCGGGCTTCAACGTGCCTCTAAATGGTATTTTAATTCTCGGAGCCACTAACGGCCACTGAGTGCCACTAAATGGTAATTCTCAGAGCCACTAGCGGCCACTGAGTGCCACTAAATGATATTTCTCGGAGCAAGTAGCGGCCGCTAGGTGCCACTAACTGGTAATTCTCGGAACCACTAACGGCCACTAAGTGCCACTAAATGGTAATTTTCGGAACCACTAACGGCCACTAAGTGCCACTAAATTGTAGATCTCGGGCTTCAACGTGCCTCTAAATGGTATTTTAATTCTCGGAGCCACTAACGGCCACTAAGTGCCACTAAATGGTAATTCTCAGAGCCACTAGCGGCCACTGACTGCCACTAAATGATATTTCTCGGAGCAAGTAGCGGCCGCTAGGTGCCACTAAATGGTAATTGCAGGAACCACTAACGGCCACTAAGTGCCACTCAATGGTAATTTTCGGAACCACTAACGGCCACTAAGTGCCACTCAATTGTAGACCTCACTAAATTGTAGATCTCGGGCTTCAACGTGCCTCTAAATGGTATTTTAATTCTCGGAGCCACTAACGGCCACTAAGTGCCACTAAATGGTAATTCTCAGAGCCACTAGCGGCCACTGACTGCCACTAAATGATATTTCTCGGAGCAAGTAGCGGCCGCTAGGTGCCACTAAATGGTAATTGCAGGAACCACTAACGGCCACTAAGTGCCACTCAATGGTAATTTTCGGAACCACTAACGGCCACTAACCACTAAGTAGCCACTAAATTGTAGATCTCGGGCTTCAACGTGCCTCTAAATGATATATTAATTCTCGGAGCCACTAACGGCCACTAAGTGCCACTAAATGGTAATTCTCAGAGCCACTAGCGGCCACTGAGTGCCACTAATGATATTTCTCGGAGCAAGCAGCGGCCGCTAGGTGCCACTAAGTGGTAATTCTCGGGGCCGCTAAAGGCCGCTAAGTGCCACTAATTGCCACTACACGGCCGCTACAGGCCGCTAGCGGCCACTAAGTGCCACTAAATGGTAATTCTCGGCGGTCGCGATGGTCAATCCGAAGTTTCCCAGAGAGCCCACATAAGCTTTGTTTCCTTCATGCTGTTCCTGTACCCCCCTCCTTCTTCTTGCCCCCGTTCGTTTTCGTCCTCGCTTCCCTCTTGCTGCCGCCAGCCCGCCCCTCCCTCGCTCTCCCCGTCGCTTCGCTTTCCTTGCGTCCTTCCTCGGATCTTCTTTTCTGTGCCCCGCCTCGGTTTTCCTCCCGCTCCCACCTCGTGTTTACCTCTCCTTGCTCGTTCTGGCCCGCGCTTCCCGCTCGTCCTCTCTGGAGTTCGGTGTTCAAGCCTCAAGCTTGGCACGATCCCTTATTGCCGCCATCCCCCTCCCCAGGAGTCGACCGTGCTCGGCAGACCCTGTGTACGTCTCGGGCCCTGCGGAAGAAGAGTAGTAACAAGAAGAAGGAGGAGAAGAAGAAGAAGAAGAAGAAGGGAAGGAGATGGGAGGAGGGAGTGAAGAGGAGGAACAAATTGTTGCAGGGCTGAATCTAAACGGTGTTTTTGGCGATTTCATGGGCCGTTTTCGTTTCGATTTCGTTTTGCGGTAAAGGCGGATTCGAGACAAAAGCGAAAACGAAACGAAAACGAAAAACGAAAATACAACGAAAACGAAAAACACCCTTTAGGTTCAGCCCTGAGTTGTTGCCCACCCCGTGGGTGTGGTCAGGGTTCCCTGTGTCGCCCTGGGAGGACTGCACCGACCGCGAGATCAACGCGGTGGACTCGGAGTTCCAGGCTGCCGCCCTCGCACAGCCCCTGCGATCGGTGCCGCCCCGGAGCGCTGGACCCGCAGCGGCTTCGCGCCGCCTCGATGCGGAGGCGGCGCCGACGCGGGCGCTCCCGGAGGCACGCCTGCCTCGCCCTCGGGCCTTTTTTCGCTTGGCCTCGGCGCCACTGCTGGAGGCAGCTCGAACAACATGTTTCAGCCTTGCGCAGAGGGGTGTGTGGGGGAGGGGGAGGAACCTCTCAGAAGCACCCCTGCTTCTGAGAAGTCTTTCCCCCCCTCCCTCCACCCTCTTGAACGCGCCGCCAACTTGAGCCAGGCGATCGCAAACATGGATCAAGGGGGCGTGGATCAGCGACGGGTCCCGTTTCCATGGGAAATCGCGGATCTCCGCCGCCGAGCGAGGCGGCACCGGCCGCATTTGTGGGGATGGCACCTCCCCCGATCCGTGGACTTGGCGACCGCGCGCCAAAGTTCGTCGAAAGTCGGCCTGTAGGGGGACATGCCCGACCTGACGCTAGTCCATGTGTGCGCGCCGCCACCTTGAGGGGCGGCCCTCGGCGCCGATCTCAGAGAGCGAGGCGCATGCAACATGTAATAGCGGATGCAATGTGCATGGTCCATTTGGCATTTGGTCGCGTCAAGGTTAGTCAGCAAGCGAGTGTCTTTGAAGCTGCGCTTGAAGTTGTTCGTCAGCGTCGTGACGCCAACGGCTGTCTACAGTCTTGCCACAACGCGTTCACCGCACGACAAGACAATAATAGACAGTGCCCGGGCGCAGATGTTACGACGGATCTTTGTGTTTCGTAAATCTTATCACGAGTGTTGGGAGGAGGCCGGGCATCAATGCAAATGCATAGTAGAAAGAGCAATGGCATTTTACAGGGTGTCTGATTGGCTCGAGGTGATTGGCACAACCTGTTGGGAGATCTTGAGAAGAGTCTGCAACGAGAGGAACGTATGGCCGTCTCTAGCCACATGCTGGTGCCCAGAAGGGTCCCGCAGAATTAGCCGCCCGAGAACCAAGTGGACCGATTCAATCGACAATTTCTTCCGGGATCGATGATCCAACACGAGCTTGGAGAACGTGAATTTGCACAATGCACACGGCAGGCTTTCGGATGATTTTCGAGCTGAATAGTTGCCATACGTGCACGCACTAGTGTAGCATTGCTCTTGAAGGGTCTGCTTCTGACGTCCATCGATGCATGCTTTTCCTAATTGCATGAATCACGCCGTCCCCACAAGCGGGACGAAACGTCTTAGGGCGCCCAATCGGACGTTTTGGTTCTGCTTCTGCTTCTGCGCGGTTGTCTGAGTGGGGCGGGCGTGAATGGCGCCCTCCGCCCTGCTGCGCGTGGTGTGCTCGTTCCGCGTCGCTCGCACGGCGTGCGGCGGGTCAGGCGGTGCGCAGACGGCTGGGTCGGGGAGGTTCGAAGGGACGGCGGAAACTGGGTGAGGCGGGAGAGGGCTCTGCCAGGGCAGGGCGGGAGTGAGGGCGCAGGGGGGCCCGGGGGGTGCAGGCCGGGAGAGGCAGGAGGGGGGTATGAGGAGGACGGGCGCGAGGAGGAGGAGGAGGAGGAGGAGGAGGAGGAGGAAGAGGATGTGGAGGAGGTGGAGAGGGGGCAGGAGGGGTGCGCGAGGAGGAGAAGGGGCATGAGGAGGAGGCAGGAGAGGAAGCAGAAGCGTGGGACCCTTCCCACCGACTGGTGGGATGACTCGAGGGCATCGGGGCAATCGTTCGACACTGTTCGCATCACCGACTCACCGAGAAGTCGGGAGGCAGAAGTCTTGGGGGGAGGCAGAGGCGTGTCCCGCGCTGGTGCCCGAGGTTGTCGACGGGCTTCGCCCCCCAAGCCCAGCAAGAGACTAGCATGGAGAGGAGGAGACGGAGGGAGATGAGGAGGAGACGGGACCAATCTGACGAGCATAACAAAATGGGAGGGACATCCCTCGCCTCTTCCAGGCTGGTCACACCATGCCGTGGTGGCGCTACATCGGCATCATGCACATGAGCGCAAATCCGGAGCACCCTTTCCACGTTGCCGTCGGTAACAACAAGGTTTTTGGGGATCCAGCTTTGAGCGCTGAAGTGTCCTGTGGAGAGTGCCACACTGTGAGTTGACCACACGTCCAGCTCGGCACATTTGTGCCAGCAGTGACTTTGTATTGGAGCGTCATGTCCAGCAGCCCAGTTTCTCATGAGGAGGGCGGATCAAGGACGAATGTGGCAGGGTTGAGGGAGAGAAGTGGAAGATTTGTCGGATAGAGGGAGGGCAGCGGAAAGGAGAGGAAGGCATGGTAATTCGAGGGTGCGCTAAGGAGGGAACGAGAGGACGACGACGACGACGATGATGATGGTGCTGATGATGCTGATGATGCTGATGCTGCTGATGGTGATGATGCTGATTATGACGATGATGTGGGTGATGATGATGATGACGACGATTATGTTGATGATGCTAATGATTATGGTGATAATGATGCTGGTGACTGATGGTGATGGTGATGGCGATGGTGGTGGTGATGATGACGGCGATGACGGTGATGATGATGGTGATACTGATGATGACGATGATGGTGATGCTGATGATGATGCTGATACTGATGCCGGTGATGATCATGGTGCGAGTGGTGGTGATGGTGATAGTGATGGTGAGAGTGATGGGGCTCTTAGTGGTGATGGTGAATTTGGCGGTGGTGGTTATGTTAGTGATTGTAACGATGGGCATCGTCTTGACGATTGTGGTGGTGGTGGTGACGATAATGTTGGTGATGGTGTTGGTGATGCTGATAGTGGTGATGATGATGCTGATGCTGATTGTGTTGATGATCATGATGTTGATGGTGATTGTGGTGGTGGTGGTGCCGCCGTTAACGATTGTGCTGAGAAGATGATGAGGTGATGATGCTGAGCATGTTGATTATGATGATGATGGGGATGAGGAGGAGGAGGAGGATGCTGATCTGATGAGGATGCTGGTGATGATGATGCTGGTGAGGAATGGGATGGGATGGGATGGCATGGGATGGGAGGGGATGATGATGATGATGATGATGATGATGCTTATGGGGACGAGGATGATAATGATAACGCTGTTTGGGATTATGTTCGTGTTGGTGATGCTGATTATGACGATGATTATGATGATGATGCTGATGCTGCTGCTGATGATGATGCCGATGATGGTGATGATGATGCTTATGCTGATGCTTGCTGATGGAGACTGTGATGGTGATGGTGATGGTGATGATGCTGATGATGATGGCATGACGCTGATGTCGTTGAGATGGGGAAGAGCGCGTTATGTGGGCGCTCGGAGGGGGGGGGTGGAATCGGACCCTTCCCCTGGATTCAAGGGAGGCGGGGGCCTCCCCTCCCTTCTCACCTACTTCTCCTCTCTCCCTCTCCTCGGGCCAGTGCCGGCGTCGGCGGCAGCTGGCGGCGACGGTGGGGAGCGTCGATGAAGACGACGACTTCCTGTTCTGGGCGGGCGGCGGCGCCTGCGGCGGCTGGCGGCGGCGGCGGGGGGCGTCGACGAGGACGAAGACGACGATGACGACGACGACGACGCTCCGCCACCGTGCCTTGGTTTTGGGTCAGAGTCCTAATGGGTGCGTCTTGGGGTCTCGTCGGAAGGCTCACGGGGGCCTCTGAGAGGCATTCGTGAAGCCTCCTCGGCGCCTCTTGGGCGCCTCTTGGGGCCTCTCTGAGGTGGTGGTGGTGGTGGTGGTTGTGGTGGCGATGGTGGTGGTGGTGGTGGTGTGGTGGTTGGTGCTGGAAGTGGTGGTTGTTGTAGTGGTTGTGTTGGCAGGTTGTGGTGGTGGTGGTGGTGGCGGTGGTGGTGGTGGTGTGGTGGTTTCTGGTGGTGGTGGTAGTTGTGGTGGTGGTGGGTTGCGGTGGTGGTGGTGGCGGTTGTGGTGTGGTAGTTTGTCGCGGTGGTTGTGGTGGTGGTAGTGGACGTTGTGGTGGTGGGCTGTGGTTGTGGTGGTGGTGGTAGTGGTGGTGGCGGTTGTGGTGTGGTAGTTTGTCGTTGTGGTTGTGGTGATGGGTGGTGTTGGTGGTGGTTGTGGTGGTTTGTGGTTGTGGTGGTGGGTTGTGCTGGTGGTGGTGGTGGCGGTGGTGGTGGTTGTGGTGGGGTGGTTTGGGGTGGTTGTGGTGGCGGTGGTGGTGGTAGTAGTGGTGGTGGTGGGTTGTGGAGGTGGTTCTGATGGTGGTGGTGGCGATGGTGGTGGTGTGGTGGTTCGTCGTCGTGGTCGTGGTGGTAGGTTGAGGTGGTGGTGGAGAGGTGGTTGTGGCGGTGGCGGGTGGTGGTGGTGGTGTGGTGGTGTGTGGTCGTGGTGGTGGTCGTGTGGTGGTTTATGGTGGTGGTGGTGGTGTGGTGGTTTGTGGTTGTGGTGGTGTTGGTGGCTTGTGGTGGTGATAGTGGTTACTTGGTTAAGGCGGTGGTGGTGGTGGTGTGGTGGATTGTGGTTTTGGGTTGTTGTGGTGGTTGTGGTGGTGATGGTTGTGTGGTGGTTTCTGGTGGTGGTGGTGGGTTGTGGTGGTAGTGGTGGTGGTGGTGGCGGTGGTGGTGGTAGTGGGGTGGTGGTTTGTGGTGGTGGTGGTGGGCTGGTGTTAGTGCTGGTGGTGGTGGTGGTGCTGTTGGGGGTGGTGCTGGTGCTGGTGGTGGGCGATGGGTGGTGGTGGTGGTGGCGGCGTTGGTGGTTGTGGTGGTTGTTGTGGTGGTTTGTGATGGTGGTGGTGGTGGTGGGTTGTGGTGGTGGGTTGCGGTGGTGGTGATGGTGGTGGTGTGGTGGTTTGCGGTGGTGGTTGTGGTGGTGGTGGTTTTTTGAGTGGGTTGTGGTGGTGGTGGTGGCGTTTGTGGTGGTAGTGGTGGTATAGTGGTTTGTTGTGATGGTGGTGGTTGTGGTGGTTGTTGGTTGTGGTGGTGGTGGCGGTGGTGGCGGTGGTGGTGGTGGTGGTTACTAGTGGTGTGGTGGTTTGTGGTGGTGGTTGTTGTGGTGGTGTGGCTTTCGGGTCTTCCCGCCACCGTGTTTTGGCTTTGGGTCAGAGTTCTAGCGGATGCCTCTTGAGGTCTCGTCAGAGGGGTCTCGGGGGCGTCTGAGAAGCATTGGTGAAGCCTCCTGGATTGTCCTAAGGGCTCGATATGGCGATTGGTGTTTCCCCTCTGCGACCTCTGGGCCCCGCCTTGTCATCGTCGCTGCGTCTGCCGGGGGTGGGGGGTGGGGAGAGCGGGGTTAGGGGGGAGGGGAGTCCCCCTGGTTCTGATGGACGGCGCCGAATGTTTTGGTGGGGGTGGGGGCCCCCCTGATTCAAAATGCGCCGCCGAATGTTCCCATGGCAAGCGCCCGTGAAACGCGCTCTTTCTGAGATGATGATGGAGATCATGACGATGATGATGATGATGATGATGATGATGATGATGATGATGATGATGATGATGCTGATGCTGATGATGATGATGATGATGATGCTGATGATGATGATGATGGTGATGGTGATTCAGATGATGACGATGATGATGCTGATGCTGCTGCTGATGCTGATGCTGATGCTGATGCTGATGCTGTTGATGATGATGATGATGATGCTGATGATGATAATGATGACGGTGATGATGATGATGATGATGATGATGAAAACGATGCTGATGATGATGATGCTGATGATTATACTTATGATAAGATGAGGATGATGATGCTGATGGTGATGATGCTAATGATCATGATGATGATGGTGCGAGTGATGGTGATGGTGATAGTGATGGTGGGAGTGATAGTGCTGGTGGTGGTGATGGTGAATGTTGTGTAGGTGGAGATATTGGTGGCGGTACAGATGATATTCGTAATGATGGTGGTGGTGATGATGGTGATGGTGATCGTGTTGGTGACGTTGATGGTGGTGGTGATGATGATAATGATGGCGATGGTGATGCTGCTGATGAACACAAGGAGGAGGATGAGGATAAGGGGAGGAGCAGGAAGAGTGGGAGGATATCAACAATAGAGCAGCACGGAGAGGAGGATGAGGAGGAGGAGGATGAGGAGGAGGAGGAGGAGGAGCAGGAGGGCAGAGGGGGATGAGGAGGAAAAGGCAGACGGCGATGGGCAGGACAGGACAATGGGAGTGATGGGCAGCTATAGCAAGAGAAGGATGAGTGAGGAAAGTGGTCAAGCAGATGGAGGAACAGCTGGACTAGGACGACATGAAATTCCGAGCACGAAGAGGAGGGCGAGGGATGTGGCGGTTGCGGAAGTTGAGGGGGTGGAGGCCGAGGTGGAAGTAGAGTAAGGCGAGGCTGGGGGAATTGGTTGAGGTGCAGGCGGAGGGCGAGGAGCAGGCGCTGGAGGTGGAGGAGGTCGACGTGGAGGGGGTGTATGTTGTGGAGGGGCTGGATCCATAAGGTGCTGCGGGACGATCCCAAGGAGCGTGGCGTGGACTTGTACGAGGATGCTCGGGGGGCGCTCGTCATCGTCTGGCGAGGTTCTCGACTACTGTAATTCAAGACCTTGTCCCCGGTGATGCAGTCGTTTTGCTGGTGCCCAGACAAACTCTCCCATCGAGTCCGAGACTCAGTCATTGTTCTGGGTCTGCTCGAGTGGCGGAGCGGCTCATGCTGCATCACACGTCCGCGGAGATGCAGGACCTGTAACTTTCATCGTTGTGCGGAATGCAGTATCGAAGACGCCTACGGCGAATCACCGCCGCCCCCTGCCTTTTTGGAAGCGCCTATGTGGCCGAACGTTGAGGCCAGACCTGCCAAGCTATCGGACCATGTGTTCCCCGAATCGGTTTGGAAAGCCTTCGGGGAACACGTGTGCATCTTGAAGGTCATCTTGGCCGTCTGGAGGCCATTTTGACCCTTTCGGGCCTTCTTGGAGGACGTCTTGGCTCTTGGGCCGTCTTGGAGGCCATCTTGAGCGTCTTGGAGACCTCTTGGGCCGTCTTGGGGGCCTCTTGGGGCCGTGTCTTGGGCCTCGTGGGCAATCTTTGGGGGCACTTGGGCCGTCTCGGGCCGTCGGAAGGCAGAAAAAAAGCAAATGCCACAATCCTTCAAACACCCATGGGAAATCAAGGATTTTGGCCCTTTCGGGCCTTCCTGGAGGCCCTCTTGGAGGCCTCTTGGGCCGTCTTGGGCCATCTTAGGGCCATGTTCGGCCGTCTTGGTGGGCTTCTGGTCCGTCTGACGCCGTCGGAAGCCGTTTGGGTGGCCTCTATTGGCCGACTTGGGGCCCTCTTGGAATGCTCCAGGGCCGTCTTGGAGGCCCATCTTGGGGCCCTCCTGTGCCGTCTTGGAGGCCATCTTGGCCGTCTTGGAGGCATCTTGGCCGTCTTGGAGGCCATCTTGGGGCCGTCTGGGGCAGGAAACCGTTTGCAACCACCTCTTCTGGGTGGCCGGCGGGACGTGACGAAGCCCCAGGGGGAGTTCTTTTGGAAAAAGAACCAAAACCACAACCGATAGGATTCGACACGCCAGGCACCCCTGCGATGAATCGACAGGGGGCGGCGGATCGAAGACGCCCACGGCGAATCACCGCCGCCCCCTGCCTTTTTGGAAGCGCCTATGTGGCCGAACGTTGAGGCCAGACCTGCCAAGCTATCGGACCATGTGTTCCCCGAATCGGTTTGGAAAGCCTTCGGAGAACACGTGTGCACTTTGAAGGTCATCTTGGTCGTCTGGAGGCCATTTTGACCCTTTCGGGCCTTCTTGGAGGACGTCTTGGCTCTTGGGCCGTCTTGGAGGCCATCTTGAGCGTCTTGGAGACCTCTTGGGCCGTCTTGGGGGCCTCTTGGGGCCGTGTCTTGGGCCTCGTGGGCAATCTTTGGGGGCACTTGGGCCGTCTCGGGCCGTCGGAAGGCAGAAAAAAAGCAAATGCCACAATCCTTCAAACACCCATGGGAAATCAAGGATTTTGGCCCTTTCGGGCCTTCCTGGAGGCCTCTTGGAGGCCTCTTGGGCCGTCTTGGGCCATCTTAGGGCCATGTTCGGCCGTCTTGGTGCGCTCCTGGTCCGTCTGACGCCGTCGGAAGCCGTTCGGGTGGCCTCTATGGGCCGACTTGGGGCCCTCTTGGAATGCTCCAGGGCCGTCTTGGAGGCGCATCTTGGGCGTCTTAAAGGCCTCCTGTGCCGTCTTGGGGGCCCTTTTGGGGCCCTCTTGGGCCGTTCTGGGGCCATCTTGGAGGCCTCTTGGGCGATCTTTCGGAGATTTTCGGGGCCTCTTGGGCCGTCTCGGGCCGTCGGAAGGCCGAAAAGAAGCAAATGTCAAAATCCGTCAAAAACCGCAGGAACATCAATGTTTTGGGGATCTTCTGTCCTTCCTGGAGGCCCTCTTGGGGGCCTCTTGGGCCGTCTTGGGCCAGCTTCGAGCCAACTTCGCCCATCTTGGTGGGTTCCTGGCACGTCTGACGCCGTCGGGAGCCGTCTTGGGGGCCTTTCTGGGCCGACTTTGGGCCCTCTTGGAATGCTCCCGGGCCGTCTTGGAGGCCCATCTTGGGCGTCTTGGAGGCCATCTTGGACGTGTTGGAGGCCTCTCGGGCCGTCTTGGGGTCCTCTTGGGGCCGTCTTGGAGGCCACTTGGGCCGTCATGGGGCCCTTTTGGGGGCCTCTTGGGCGATCTTGGAGGCCTCTTGGGCCGTCGAAGAGCCGAAAAGGCGCAAATGCCAAAATCCTTCAGAGCCTAAGGAAAATCAATGATTTTGGCCCTTTCGGGACTTCCTGGAGGACGTCTTGGGAGCTCTTGGGCCGTCTTGGAGGCCTCTTGCGGGCCTGTTGGGCCGTCTTGAGGCCATCTTGGGCCGTCTTGGAGGCATCTTGGGGCCATCTTAGCCGTCTTGGAGGCCATCTCGGGCCGTCTTGGAGACCATCCTGGGCCATCTTGGCCGTCTTGGACGCCATCTTGGGCCAACTGGAGGAAACAGATGCACGACGGATGATGCGTTTTGAGCGCCTTTCTGGGTGGCCGGCGGGACGCGCCGGAGCCCCAGGGGGAGCTCTTTTGGAAAAAGAGCCAAAAACAAAACAGAGAGGGTTTAACACGCCAGGCACCCCTTGGATGAATCGACAGGGGGCTGCGGATCCAGCTGCCTGCGGCAAGTCCCGCCACCGTGCCAGCTCACCAGTCTATGTGGCGACGCTTCGAGCACCGCCTACGAGGCCGTAGCATGTAAATCTCCTCGTTTCCATCCTGTCTGTTCCTCGCAGGGCTCTCGAATAGCCTACCTTGCAGTCTTGGGCTGTCATGGGATCCCTTGGGGCCTTCTCGTTGCCGCCTTGGACCGTCCTCGACCGCCTGGGGAGTGTCTCGGAGCTGTCGAGGAGGAGGAGGAGGAGGAGGAGGAGGAGGAGGAGGAGGAGGAGGAGGAGAAGGAGGAGGAGGAGGAGGAGGAGGAGGAGGAGGAGGAAGAGGAGGAAGAGGAGGAAGAGGAGGAGGATGAGGTAGGAGGTAGGAGGTAGGAGGTAGGAGGTAGGAGGTAGGAGGTAGGAGGTAGGAGGTAGGAGGTAGGAGGTAGGAGGTAGGAGGAGGAGGAGGAGGAGGAGGAGGAGGAGGAGGAGGAGGAGGAGGAGGAGGAAGAGGAGATGGAGGAGGCGAAGGAGGAGGAGGAGGAGGAGGAGGCGAAGGAGGAGGGGGAGGAGGAGGAGGAGGAGGAGGAGGAGAGCCGTGTCGGGGGCGGGCGTCTGTCTGTGTGGGGGCCCTTTTGGGGCTGCGCTGGGGCTCTCCTGGGCCGTGCTGGGCCCCTCGTGGGACGTGCTACGTAGGTTTAAGTTGGGCCTGTCCCTCTACAGGAGGGAAACTCAGAAATTGTCAAACACTAGTCTGGGGACGATTTTTCTACTATTTTTGAATTGTTTTGAATATTTTCTGCCTATGTTTGATTTTTCGCCCAAAGTCCGCCTGTAGGGGGACATGCCCGACTTAATGCTAGGGTCCTCTCTGGGCTGCGCGCCGTCAGGGGGCCGCTTGGAGGCTCACGTCACGCTCTTCGGGGCCCTCTTCGGCTCTTCGCTCTTCCGGTGCCTTTTTTTTGTGGCCCATCTTGGAGTGAGAGGCCCTGGCGACGCAGACTCAAGTGGTTTTGGTGTGGTCTTGCTGATGGACTGTTGTTCTGGACTTGGTGTTGTGGTTCTGGACTTGGTGTTGTGGCCTTGCTGTAGGGCCTCCTTGAGTTCCCCGTGGCGTCTCGGAAGCCTCGTGGGACCCGTGTTGCGCCCCGTGCCGTCCTTCTTGGAGGATGTTGGTGGCCTTTTGGGGCAATCTGGGACTGTTGTTGCGGCTTTGATGGCCTCCTGGACGGTCTTTGAAGAGCCCCTGGACGTCACCGGCTGCCGAGGGCGCCTCGGGAGGGACGTGCGATGCGCGCAGCAGTGCGTGGGGAGGCCCTCAGGGGACTTCCTGGGACCCTACCAGACCGCACTGGGTACTCTATCACGCCTCAACGTGCCAGGGGTCACGTTGGCGGATATTGCACGAGGCGTTCCCAGCGGAGGCCAACGTCTGGTTAGCTATTCACCTGAGTTGTGTGGATGCGCCGTCAAACTTGGGTAACACGTTTCGCATTTCCTCTCCAACATATAAGCGTCTTCCCCTCCCTACTTCATCCTGATGATGTCTGGACTTGGGAGCTTTTGTAGGCAAGGACCCCCCCGAGGAGATGCTCAAGCTGTACAACGAGTTTTATATAGAAGGCTGATTGCGTGCCCGCTCACGCCCCACCCGTGTCCGAAGAATTCGGTAAGAGGTTGATGAAGGTCATGGTTTTGTATTGGCTGGGCGGATGCGCTGGAAGTGGGATGATCAATTGGCAGCGCTCATTGAGAGACAGGCTCGTCCACGCTGCTATGGGCCAGCTCCCTGAATCTATACATATATATATATATGTATAAGGGCATGATAACTAACGATATAAAAGGGCGAAGGGTAGAGGGCACGCGCTAGAGAACAACGGGTAACATAGAGGGTAGTACACTGCAGGGTGCAGATCAGACGGCAGAGTAGACCTTTGATGGCAGAGGGAAGGGTGGAGGGCGGGGCGGGCGCGAAGTGCGGGCACCAGGCTGGGGGCCGAGAGCGCTCGGCAGACAGCCCGAGACAGCAGAGCAGAGGGGCGAGAGCCAGGCGAGGAGCGCTCGCGCCATGTTTGCATCATCATGAACTTCCGTTGGTCCGCGTGGATTTCCTGGATCTGCGCTGGACCCCCCCCCCTCCCTCCCTCGCCTGCGGAGCGCGCAAGCGTCGGCGCAGGAGGCGCCGCCACGGGGGTCCAGTGCAGCTCCAAGACACCCGCGTTGGCAGTCGAACGTATATGTTTATGCCGATTTTGTCTTCTTCGGCTGGAGCTTGTGGGACTCCTGTGCCCGCGATGGCGTGTAGGGTTCAGGATTTGGGGTTTCGGATTGAGGGTCCATTCGCCCAAGTCGAAGCCTGCTAGATTGTGAAAGTGCGCCAGTGGATCT